GGGACTCAGTACCTTGGTCTGGTGGTCTGGTGTCCTCTGCATCTTTGTAGTGTGGAACCAGGTGGCTGCCTGTCTGCAGCAGGGTGATTAGGTGTCTTCCGCATGAGTCAGGACCTCGGTAGGGCGTGCACAGACCTTCCTATGTGCAGCTGGCTGATTCGGCGTGTTCTATGTGACTCAGGACCTCGGTAGGGTGTGCACAGACCTGTCTGTCTGCAGCGGGGTGATTTGGCGTCATCCACGCGACTCAGGACCATATAGCATTTTATAAGTCCACAGTCAACGTTCCAAAGTCCACAACCTATCAGCAAAGGTATTTTTCTCCCCTATACACATAAATGATGAAGACCATGCCAAGTACTGTGGTCTGGTGTGCCTTTATTGCAGAGTTTCTCTTCACTTTTCTGGCGGGCTTCAGTTTTCATGAAGAAGCCTGAGAAAGGCCCCTTTCTGTTGTTCACTTCTGCTGCTCAGGACAATGGCCTTTATGTCCCCCTGTGCCTCTGTAGTGTGGAACCAGGTAGCGGCACAGCCAGGAGGTGCTAAACATTTTTCTAAGCGTCTTATGTATAATCCCTTAACTAATCCACAAAGAGGTCTTAAAGTGTAGATTAGAAAGCTGAGGCTTAGAGAGGTTAAATGACTTGTTTAGGGATTTGAATACAATTTTATCTGAATCTCTTACACTTTTAAAATTTTTGTTAATACATATTTGCAGTACATAATGTTTACATTCCTTGTGTGGAGTTGGTACATGTACATAACTCATCTTCGTTCCTTTTATCATCCCCTTTCCCCCATCTCTTGACTCTCTTCCCATTTGAGAAAGATCTCTCTACTTCCTATTATCTATCTTTTATCCATAATCATCTCATTTCTCATATAAGAGAAACCATACAATATTTAAGCTTGTATATCTGATCGGTTTCACTTAACAGTATGGTCTCAAGGTACATCCATTTTCCTACAAATAAATCTACTGTACTTGTTTAAAGGTTGGACTATGTCCTTCCGAAAGATATGTTAAAGTTCTAGGCCCCAGGACCACTTTAGAGTATAAGTTTGTTTGAAAATAGGGTCACTCCACATGTAGTTAACAACGATGAGGCCTAGTAGAGTAGGACCAGCCCCTAACCTAAATGAAGGGGAAGGATTCACTGTCTTGCAGCTGCTTCATTCCACTCTCTGTCTTGTCCTATACCCTTCTCCACTGGGTCATCTGTTGTAAGGACACCAATCATCACATTGGGTTAGGTAAGGGCCGGCCACCAGAAACTAGGAAGAGGTAAGGGAAGATTCTTCTACAGGTTTCAGAGGAAACATGCCCTATCGCACCTTGATTACTGACTTGTGTCCTCCAGAACTGTGAAGCGACACATTTCTGTTGTTTTATGCCTCCCAGTTTGTGGTACTTTGTTGTGGAAGCCTAAGGAAACTAAGATAACATTACAGCACTGCCCCCCCCAACACACACACACACAATGCAAGTGAATTGCTTTGTCAGTACCTGCTGATTGACCAAGATGAAAATGGCGTGGGGGTGAGTTTGTCATCCTGCGACTGTAACATGAGATCATGGTTAATGTTAGATGAATTTAAAGTCTGTTTTTCATTTTTAGATGGTAAAAAGTGTATCATTAGCCATCAAAAGCACCATACATTGGAGCTTTTTAGTGATTAAAGTCACTACAACTTCATTATGGAAATGTTTATAATGAAATCTAGAATAATTTTAGCAGAATTGAGAAAGCTCACCTACATAAATGTCGTGAATAATGCTGTCTTTTGATAATGCTGACAGATTTCCGTGTCCTGCAGGTGTTTGTAGAACTCCGGTAGTAGTGAAATTTTGATAAGAGTAGTATATCTTATGTTTGTCCCATAGTATTAGTTCTGGCATTCCTGACAATAGAAAACGTGGAACTAAAAAACTGCCAACGGGGACATCTAACACAAAGTCTTGAGGCACCCACTGCATCGAGTCTTCATTATATATCACTATGTAAATCTTTTTGGTGTTAGTACATGTGATGCAATAATTTAACAACACAGCAAGTTCCAGAGGATGTCCTGTATAGTCAATATTGTGTATTGTCAGAGTACTGGTTGGTGGGAGATTTAGAAGATTTTTCAGTTCTGTAGTAGTTATTATTTTGACAAATTTATTTTCAGAATATCCAAAGTAAATTTCATTTTCTGTCCAGATGGCAATGTTGCTTACCACTTTTACATTCTGTGAAAAATATTGAAAACAATTAGTCAAACCTTCAACCACAATGTCCAGTTTAAAATTTAAAAAATATAATCCACTACAGAGAAAGAACCAAAAAGAGACGCATAGAGCTCAGATTGGTCACAAAGCAAGAGTCTGAGTAATGACTATACAGATTAAGATATAAAATATTGGCAAAAATCCTAAACTACTACTCATGTTCTTTCCCAGTCAATACGTTTCCAGTGGGGCTCAGTCGGGCCAAAATCTGGGCCCCAAGTCTTCGTGTTTCTGTATTAGTTCACACATCCACAACCAACAGTGTGAGAAAAGTCCATAAAAATGGGGGGGGTGCAGAGTTTATTTACAATTTTGCCAGATTAGGAAGGCAGCTAGTGTGGCCCCCACTCCAATACACAGAAGCTATCCAATTTATAGATAGGAAGAACAAAAGCCAGGAAATATTGGAAAGAAGGTTTAGGCAAGCTTTGATACAGAGGGTGGGAAGTGGTGAATCCTTAGTGTCAGGCCTGGGGCTTGCTGTTTTACACTCTCAGCATGAAGAAGCTGGAGAAACAGCCTATATCTTAAAAAAAAAAAATTCCAATTTTTAAAGATCCAATTTACCCTCTTGGTTATAGCTGCACCTTTCTGCTTCAGAACAGCCACTACCTTAGATTTGATGATAATGACTTTCTGGGATTTTGTTTTACTGTGTCTCGTCATTTGATACACTCCCCTGGCTTTTAATATTTTTTATCTACTTAAATCTATCAAACACATTTTATATTCTGTCAGTTCTAAAGCCCAGTGTCTTTGAAGGGGTGATGCTGTTTTTGTTATTTCTGATGACTTCTGTCACACTTTCTTTTCTTCATGGGTTTGGTCATGTTTGAATGTGAGCTCGGTTTTGTCAGAACATTATTTTTGGACATTCCTCAAAGCCTGACTAGAGGGTTTATTCTTTCAAAAAAGGATTTGTAAAAGAAAAAAAAGGATTTGTGTTTACTTTTGATTGGTGTTTGTCTTAATGGTTTCATTTACCCTTATAAGCACTGTAAATTTGGGTTCCAAAGCGAATGTGTACCGGCTTCAGGGCATAAATTCCAAAGAAAGCCTTTTTCTTCCCTTCTAAAATTAAAGGGGACATACACTTCATAGTGTTGAGAACATTGCTTCATGCAAAAAGTTATGAGATTCCTTACTTTGCTCAGGCCTAAGGCTCTGTCTCCTGGGACCCGAGTTCTGATTATCTGGGACTGAGGTAGGATAGAAGAAATAAAAATAAGCAGAAAGGAGACAAAGGGAATTGTACTTTTAAGTAAAACCACAGCTTCAGGACACAACCAAAGTTTCCCAGGTTTGTAATGTTTTCTACCCTTCCAGAAAACTTACTACACACACACACACACACACACACACACACACACACACACAATCCTAAGGGTTTTAAAGATGTGATAAGCCTCTAAATTTGGTTCATGCTTTTCAACTGCAAATTGAGCCTCAACTTTTCCTCCCATAAACTTCTAACCTCGAGGAAGCAGCACTATTAAGTGAGTAAAATATCTCTAAACTTCCAATGGTTTGCCCACCAACTGGGTAAGCTCACAGATAGTAGAAATACATATCCTAGGTCACCTCTCTTGAGGATACCCTCACACCACATAAAATCCCCAGCCCAAGACCATAATATGTCTCACTAAGTGCCTGTACTTCCCTCTGAAAGTGTATTTCCATCTGCCAAATAAAGATTTCTGTGCCACTCACTGATATTTCCTGAGATTATTTTCTGTGATGGGAGTCAGTGAACATACACCTATCCCATGGGTGGAGGTGAACTGATGTCCCCATCTCTTCTTCGGAGGGACCTCCATGGACCCCACATAATGACAGGATCAGCCCTGAGAGCACCTGATATTATGGAGTTTGCTTGTTCTTCTGATTAGTGTTCTAGGGCACCCTTTTTTCTCCCAGGATTTCTCTTAATTCCCTATTAGCCTGACAGTGTAGTTTAAAAAATACTCAAAATTTTTGTGCAGTATTTTAAGTGTTTTGTAGTGAAAAAGGTTCAGTATATCTTACCTACCACATTGTCTTAAATGGGAGATTTGGACCATTTTGGAGAGCACACAGAGTCTTTGGGGAAATTTTTGGGGGAGTCTTTTGCCATGAAAGTAATAAAAAGCCCCTAGGATATGATGGAAACACTGCACAGTACTATACGAGCCTAATTTTATTATTTGTTGTTGGAGGTGCATCTTTATTGTAAAGAGGACTCTGAGAAGTTGGGTCAATAGGAGCTTTATACAGCCTTATATAAAATACCTATGCAAAATGTTTCATAGTGTGGTATATCACTAACTACATGGTATGGCAAACACTGTATATATATATATATATATATATATATATATATATGCACACTCTTTCACTAACCTTAATTATATATTTGATCCAACACCATCTTCTTGATGTAATGCCAATAATTTCACCCTCTGGAAGATGTTTCTTTCTTCCTAGTTTTGTCAACTCTTTGGTATCTTTTAGGTAAAGAACACCATTTATTAAGAAATATATATTGTCATGCAACAGGAGCACAGCAGCCACACTGCGCCTTTCAGCATCGCTCAGGGTGTTTGGAGGCACTCTGACTCTGGTCCATGTGCTGAATGAATCATTTGTTTGAAAGGTTTCCATGTCCGCCACTACAACCACCAGTGAAGGAAAACAAGCATCCCAGGACAACATTAACTGACTACCAGCTGGTGAAGTGATCGGTAGAAACCTGGGAATCTCAGGTTGGACCCAAACAGGAAAAGTCAGCAGAAAAGTAAAGTCTGCAACAAAGCAATCTTGAAAAATCACTTGGTTTCCTCTAATATTCTTTATCACATCATCTCCGGTCATTGGAAGAGTAACACGCCAGGTCCTAAGTGGGGGAAAAAAAGAATAAAATGGTCTCTCTCTCCTCTTTCAAAGTTTATCATCTTTTAGACAAATTTATTTTTATTAATAGAGGCCTGGATAAAACAAATAAAACAATACTAAAATGCTACCTCTGATCTATATCTTCTCATTCTTTACTCTGGTTCCAAAGAAAATAGTCTTAGGGAATGTACGGTGGTACATGCCTGTAGTCCCAGCACTTGAAGAGGTTGAGGGAGGAGAATTACAAGTTTGAGTTCCACCTTTGCAACTTAGTGAGACCCTTTCTCAAAAAAAAAATTTAAAAAGGAGCTGAGGATATAGCTCAGTGGTAGAGTACCCTTGGGTCCGAATCTCAGTACCAAAAAAAAGTTAATGTTTTGTGTAGGATTTCCAGTGTCTGGGGATGGGAGAAGATAATGTACCAGTTCAAACAGAGAGAATACATTCACTCTTCCTCCGCACTTTGGTTCTATTCAGGCCCTCAACTGATTTCCCCATGCCCAACCACACTAGTGAGGGCTATCCCTTTAGCTAGTCTACTGATTCAAATGCTCATCTTTTCCAGAAACATTCTTACAGATAGACCCAGGAATAATACTTTACCAGCAATGTGGGCATCCCTTAGCCATCATGTTGAAACATAAAACTAACCACCACTAGTCTACCCCTTGCCAATGTGGCACACATGTGCATCTGCTTAATCCATATAAAGACAATAGCATGTTCATAACACCACCTAACATGGTACAAGTACTCATCAGCGTTGTTTCAACAATAGTATACCACTTCCTTCCCCAGAAAGGGAAGTAAAGTCTTTGAGTGATATTCACTTTTCTCCTGATAGCCTGCAACTTAAACACTACAGTGCAAAATTAACACATAAATATAAAGTCAGTACATCTTGGGTTACATGGTAAGGCAGTGATGGTGAACCTTCTAGAGCTTTCAATGAATGAACAGACCCCTGTGCAGGTGTGCCATAGCTTTCCCACAACTGTGATAAGGGATCAGAGAGGGAAGAAAACAGAGATTTTTTCTTAATATATGCATACATGCATACTCTATTAGTCAGCTTTGTGTCACTACAGTGAACTATCTGAGGCAGCTAATTTAATTTTTAAAAAAGAAAAAAAGGTATATTTAGCTCACAGTTTTGGTGGATGAAATTCCAGATAGGATAGTGTAGGCTCTGGAAAGTCCCCATGTAGATGGCAGGAATGAGAGAAGGATCACATGGTAAGACAAGAAAGGGTAGGGGCCCAGGCTTGCTCTTTTCTTAAAATAAGAACTCTCTTTAGATTCAAGGATCACATGAAAAATGACAATACCTTTCAGGAGCAGGGCCCCCAGTGACCCAAGGCCTCCTTCTAGGCCCTGTGTCTTAAAGGTTCCATAGTTCCTCCCAATCAATACCACCATCATCCTAGGGACCAAGCCTCCAAGCACATGGTCTTTTGGGAGAAACCTAAACCATATCCATGCCACAGCACACACAAGCATATTCATCAGAAAAGGAGGACATACTCATGATAATTACAGCCCTCATTTTTATAACTGGTTATGTGTTTTTATATAGTACTTATAACTATCTTCTACTACCCACTGTATATTCCCCTTGCCTTCAGCAAGCAACTCAGCTGGTAATGGTTCTTTACCTGGTGCCTAGGGGTAAACCTTTTCTGAAGGGTCGGAGTCATTAGCAGTCTTGGCTGGATTGGATTGTTGTTGTTTCCCATTGATCTTGATGATAGGGTGTGAAAATACTAAGGGATATGCTTTTGGACCTCTTGTACTTCTTTACCTACATGATAGAATACTAGCCCAACTTCTCCTTGGTTTTCTGGATCAATCACTCCAGCCAGCTGTTGGCTGTCTCAGACTTATGAGGACCCCATGTGGCCAAGTGGCAGTCTTAAATTCCAGTCAACAAAATCATTGTTGTGTTTCCTGGTAGAAGCATTCCTCACTCTGGAATTGAAATTTCCATGGAACAGGGAGCAAAAATTTGTTAGTTGGGCATAAGGAATAATAAAGAGTTATGCCACTTCTACTTCCACCCCTTGATTCCTACACTTGAGAAACTGGACTATTAGAGAAATACCACTGGATACTGATTCAGAGCACATAAAGCTTTTTGGTAAGCTTTTCTCAGGCCTCTGAGGTATTGGCACTTAGGTGTTCTGTAACTGAGCCTTCAAAGGGTCTTTCCACTATTCTGTCATGCCAGCTGCTTCAGAACACTGGGGAACATAAAGTGGGCAGTGAATTCCAAGAACATGGGTACAGTGCTGCCTTCTTGGATATAAAGGGAGGAGCAGTGTTATGTGGAATACCATGATGGTGGAAAAGGCCTTCATATAGAGTGTCTATTCCAGTAAAGGGAAACACTGCCCCTTCCATAATGGAAGCAGCTTCATCTAGTCTAGCTACTGTCTTGTAACCTCTAGGAAATGGTGTCATACTGGGGGCTCAGAGTTGGTTCCTGATGCTGGAAGACTGGGCATTCAGAAGTGGCTGTAGTCAAGTTATCTTGGTGAGTGGAAGGCTATGTTACTGAGCCTATGCATAACCTCCATTCCTGCTATCATGGCCACTTTGCACATGAGACATTGGCAATAACAGCAGCAGCTGGGGAAGAAGCTAACTAGCATCCATGGAATATGTTAACCAGTCCATACGGTTATTAAAATCTTCCTCTGCTGAGGTTACCTTTTGGTAAGCATTCACATGAGACACAAATAACTTCACATATTTTGTCCATTCAGAGTTTATCCATATACTTTTTCCTCAAATTTCTTTGGGGAAGTGTGTGTGTGGGGGTAATACTCTTGTAGGTCACACTCCCAGTGACCCACTTCTTCTGACCAGGCCCCACTTTCTAACATCTAGCTTAGGGCCCTCATGACCTAATCACCTTCCAAAAGGTCCACACATGTGAGTTTTGGGGCTCATTCTTGATATAAGCAATAACATTCTACCCTAGCCCCTAAAAGACTCATGCACATCTCTTTATGCAAAGTGCATTAATTCATCTCTAGGAATCACCAAGGACTTAACAGTTCTAGCACTGCTGAAAAGTCCAAGTCCAAAGTTTCCTCTGAGACTCAAAGCAAACTCTTTTCTGTTGTGAGTCTCTCTAAATACCAAAAAGAAAATTAAACACTGCTGACATAAGATGGCACAGGATAAACATTTCCATTCCAACAGGATGGAATAGGGGGGATAGAAAAAAATGGACTAAAGCAAGACAAAGACCCAGCAGGGCAAGCATTATATCCCATAGCTCTATGTTTAGCACCTGGGACAAGTTACAGTGAGATGTAAGCTACAAAGAACTTAGGCAGCTGCCCTTATGGAAGTACTGGTTATAGACCACATGGATACTGTCTTGCGTGGCTTTACTAACTGCCTGTGACTGTCCTTAGCTGACATTACACATTCATGGCATCTCCAACTTCCTCAGGTCTTCACTCCACTTCTGACTTCACTCTTACAGTGGCTGACCTCTCAGGCCTCCCAGACCTTCTTCTGAAATCTGGATAGACACCTCCCTGATTAGACAACACTTGAATTCTGCATGCCAATAAAATCAGCTCCACATAGATGACGCCAAGGTCTGCCACCAGCTCAATCAGTAGCTGGGCCCCCTTGGATCATGACTGCAGAGGCCTCTGAGTTACTGCATGGTTAAGCACTATAAACTGAATCCTGGGGAGCAAATTCCCTGGATGGCCCTTCTCAAACATAGTAGCTTGGTCTCTCTTCTCAAATGAAAGCTTTACAGCTTGCATTTTTGAGCCTGCCAAGGTTAGAGTCATGCAGATTTCTGACATGTCTTCAAGGCACTTTTCCTGTTGTCCTAATGCAAAGTACTTGGCTTCTTTTCAATTCTAAGCTTTTCAGCAAGCAAGCCATCCCAGGACAAAATTTTACAGACTCCAATATTACAGGGACTTCCTTTCTGGCCACCAGCACAATCTTTCAAATTATTCAGCTCTGTTTATCAGTCTTAATTCTCATGGTAGATATACCTAAAAGCTGCCAGCAGTACTTATGCCATGGTCTTAACACTGGGCTACCTTGAGATTTCCTTGACCAGAATAATTAGTCTACCATGCTTAATATCAGTCTCCTGCAAAGTCTCAGGATAAGAGTAAAATGTAGACAAATTATCTACCAGAGCATAAGTACCACACACATGGTCTCGAATCCAACTGACAATTGAGTCCTTGTTCTCAACTGAAACCTCCTGAATCTGGTCTTTACTGTCTGTACTTACAAGAGCATTCTGGCCTTCTGGGCTCCAACCAGAATTTCCTGTTAAGCCTGGGTTACATCATTCTAGGGTCTTCCTAGAAGGGATCTCCAAACTTTTCCAAACTCCTTCCATAAACTAGTTCTAGAGGCTTCTAAACCACATGGTCAGATAGTCACACCAATGATCCCACTTCTCTGGTGCCAAAATCTGTCTTGACCAGTCACTTTCTCATTGCTGGAACAACATACCTGACACCCACAACTTAAAGGTTTATTTTGGCTCATGTTTCAAGAATTTCTCATTTACTTCTCTCCCTCATTAACTTCTTTTTTTCTTTCTTCATTAACTTCTGTTATGGCTTATATCTAGATGTTACCCCCAAAGTCTCACACATTCATTCATAGGTAGGGCTTTTGGGAGTGATCATGGGTATAGGATACTGGATAAGTCTCCTGATTGATTTACCATAGTTCTAGGTGTGGATGATGGATTTACTGAAGAGGGAAGACATACCCTGGGTGTGGGTGGCACCAACCAATAGGCTTATAGCCTGGATGGAATAAAAAGGAAAAGAAGAAGGAAGTCTTACTGCCTCCTACCTGCCATGCCATGAATGTTTCTCCTCTGCCATGCCCCTTTGCAATGCTGCTTTGCCTCAGAACCAGCTATGAACTAAAACCTCTACAAACTGTGAGATAAAATAAACCTCTCCTCCTTTAACTTGTCAGGGTCAGGTATTTCGTCCCAGAACAAGAAAGTAACTAAGACAACCACAATGTCATTTAAGGCAGCAATTCTATCTTTTTTAGTTATGAGCATCTTGCCTCATGCCTACATGCTCAATGGATTAAGAAAGGTTATTTACATCTCATGGTAATTTACCAAATTTTTTTTTTTTTTTTTGGTACTGGGGATAGAACTCAGGATCTTGCACTTGCGAGGCAGGCACCAGAACTACTGAGCTAAATTCCCGGTGGTAATTTACCAATTTTACAGTATCACATTGTTACTTTGCACGTAGAATTTTTGATGTGTGTGTGTGAGTGTATGTACGTGTGTCTGTTGTAACATCCATTACCAGTGTGGCTCACTGTAATAAGCCAGCAGAACATTTGGAGATATTGCCAGGATTTGTCACCATACTGAATGAATCTTTTTAAAAATGAGGTATGAAACTATCATCCAAGAAGTGACTAGCATTTTCTGAATTGGTAATTTTTTGTACCATGAAAGAAATTCCTTGGAAATTTCATAAAAGACATCTTCCATAAAATTCCACAATGGATTTATAACCTATTTTAAGATTCTGATTTTTTTTTTTTTGGTACCGGGGATCGAACTTGGGTCCTTGCACTTTCAAGACAGGTGGCAGAACCACTGAGCTAAATCCCCGGCCCCAGATTCTGTTTTTTAAAAAATTTTAAAGCTGAATTTTACATGTAAACTTTTAAAAATAAAGTACCAGTTTATTAGGTTGTCATCTGGAATATAAATTTTCCTTCTAATTGTTGTATATATGATAGGCTTCTGTCCCACAATGGCAAAATGGTTAGTTAGTATTCTGGAATGCTGTAAAAATAAAATGAAATTTCTCTTGTTATTCTCTTCAAAGTCAAAAGTATTCTGAAATTACATCATTACTACATTGTTTATATTTACAAATTTGCCATACTTTCAAGATGTAGCCTTTTAAAAATTATTTAACCTCCTCCTCATTAGAACTTTATGAATTATAAATAAGACAGTTTCCAACATGTCAAAACATCATGTGCAATTAGAATCCTATATGAACTGCTACAATGTGGATACTTAAGTAAACAACCCTAAGTTTTAATCTCAATAAAATACCTAATAAAGTTCATAAAGCCAATTTATTAGAATTCTTTTTATAGAATCTTTGTCTTCAAAAGGACATACTCTTTCAAGGAAGCTTTCATATATCCAGAGGGGCTAAGAAAACATTTCCTTCGAATTCAGATATTCCCTCTCTTTCTTGAGATATCAGTAAAAGTTGAATAGAACTGGGTTTTTCCTATCAAGGTATATGTTATGGCTTATATGTAGATGCGCCCCCAGTGCCTCATGTGCTAATAGGTGGGGCTTTTGGAGCATGAGTCTGTGATACTGGATCATAGGTCTATGATACTGAATTTGTCCACTGATTAGTTTATGGCTGGATGGGATGTTGGGGGGGGGGAGCCTGGTAGGAAGAGGTGGGTCACTGTGGGTGTGGCCTGGAAGGAGATATATACCTCCTACCTTGATGACTGCTCCTTCCTGTCTGCCATGACGTGAGCTCTTTCTCCTTTGCCATTCCCCTCTGCCATGCCACCTGCCTTGGAGCCAGTGGACTGTGAGCCAAAATAAACCTTTCCTCCTTTAAGTTATGAATGTTGCATACTGTGTCTCAGCAATGAGAAAGTAACTAAGAATACAGGCAACTGTTTTGATGGGGAATTCTTTGAATAAAAAGTCAGATAATACGGGGCATTCTAGAATCCCATATCTTCCATTTCAGTCCTCCAACACTATTCTTGTTTAATTCCAGAGCAATATGTCAACCACTCACAAGACTTTGAGCGTACTAGGATGTATGGTCGAAAGGGTGTAGTTGTTGGGGATATGGGACTGCCTAGTAGAACCTAACCTATTTGAGGAGTAAGAAATAGTGGTCCAGGAAGGTGCCCGTGAGGAATATATATTTAAAAATATAGGTTTGCCTAATTCTTAGTAAATTACAGATATTTTAGTTTTGTTTCTGAAAACCATATTCACTTTTTAGAATTTTAGGTACAAATCCCTTCCCTTTAAGTATAAAAGCATTCTTAATATAGCAGAGAATAACATAGAAATAAAGTGTAACAAATAATGCACCCTTATAGAAATAAGTTTTCTAAAAAGTTAAGATAATCATGTAAACAAGCTTCAAAACATACTTTTTCCTTTAAGAAGGTAGTTCATGGTCATTAAAGATAATTTTAATATAGAAAATATTGAAGAACTGATAATGGTGACCAACTAGGTGGCAATACATAGGCCGAGTGTCTCTGAGTCTGTGCTGAAGAAAAGCAGTTACCCCGAGGCAGGGGTGAAAGAGTAAGTCTGATATGGGAGGAAAAATAAAAAGATAATCCAATCGGACTAAAATCCAGCAGTTAGAGAGTGGGTGAAGGGAAACTACCACTCCTGGATCACGGTACCCCATGCCCCAGCCCCACACACACACCATCTTGGGAAAGGACTGGACTGAAGGAGAGGGCATGCCAGCCTTTCAGCGGTGGGCTGGCAGATTGAACAGACTCAGTCACACTCTCCTCCCCACTGGGTGCAGTGAAGTGAGACATTTCCACCCTGGGAACTCAAAGCTGAGGACAAAATTGGGTAGAATTTAATTGCCACACACTCATGCAGGACTGGTAGTTGGGTCTCCAGGGCCAGCAGGGGGCTCTGCAGTGCAATCAGCAGGACACCAGGAAAAGAGGTTTCCCCAATAGTACAGATGATGATGATGAGGATGAGGATGAGGATGAGGATGAGGATGAGGATGAGGATGATGATGATGGGCCACCTATTCCTCCCACATACAAAGGAGTGTTGTATGTGAAACATTCCACACCCTAACCTCAACTGTTGGGCTGCCACAGAGGAGTCCGGAGAATGGCAAAGGAAGGAAACAATAGTTCTGCAACAATTACATGGACTGAAACGGACAGATATCTGTAGCCAGAGAGGCAAGAATGGCACATGGGCCAGTGGATTTTTGGCGGGAAGACATAGAGACATCCATGATATTTACCACCCCTCCAACTTGATGAAGGTAATCAGCTCCACAGATTTCTACAGGGAGACATGCTCAGAGCTCTAAACCAGGACACATTTATAGGAGGGAACAGTTTTCAAGGTTTCGGATAGGCAATTGTATGGCCCACGGGATACCCAAAATCAGACAGTGATGCCAAAAGAAAAGGAGCTGTGTGGAAGTTCTGGGTTAACGCTATAACAACTGTGTGAAGGTTTTTACTCTTATTTCTGTTGTTATTTTGGTAACATTGCTACTTTGTTGCATTTGGGTAATCCTTGTTGATTTTTTTCTTTTTATTCTTTGTTCTTATTTTTTTCTTCTCTCTTTTGGTTCTTCTTTATTGGAATTTATCATTATATTTTAAGTTTCCAGGGCTTCCCCTTTGACCTGTTCCCTCTTTCAATGTTTCTTCCCTCCTATCTTTCAACTCTCTCTCCTCCTTATTCTTTGTGTTACCCTATTTCTCATTATTTTGAGTCCTTACATTGCCTCTTCTCCTCACCATCTATCTAATGGCCTAAATATAACAGGGAACTGTATAAGTCATTAGAGAATAAGAATTGACCAGTCCTATAAATTAAACAGTATCATTTAAGGGCACATCAGGATGATCCTAAACAAAATTGGTCTTACAGGATCCAAAATTACTTACAAACATATTAATAGGCATCAACAATCTCAGCTTTCCTCAATCTCCACATTTCCACCCATGTGCCTTTAAAGACTAAAAATCAAAGGTTAAAACAATATTACTTGCACTGGGATCCTGAAAGCAAGCAGGGGTAGCAATTTTATTCTCAGAAAGTAAACTTCAAGCTAAAACTGATCAGAAGAGACAAAGAAAGTCACCACATATTAGGTAAGGGAACAATTCAACAAGATGAGATAACAATTGGGTTTTTTTTGGGGGGGGGGTACGGGGAATCAAACTTGGGTCCTTGCACTTGCGCAGCAGGCGGCGAAACCACTGAGCTAAATCCCCGGCCCAACAATTGTTTATACAATTAACAACTGTTGCTCCAAATACTGGGGAACCTAACTTCATAAAACAAACACTAGTGAACATAAAATATCAACTAAACACCAAAATAGTCATAGTGGAGGACCTCAATATCCTTTTTGCAGAGAGACAGATCAACTAAACAAAAAATTAACAAAGAAATATTAGAGCTGAACTACAGCTTCAAACAAATGGACTTAATAGATATCTACAGTGTGTTCTGCCCTACTACAACAGGATACACATTCTTAGCAGCATATAGAACTTTCACCAAAATAGGCCACATACTAGTTCATACAGCCTGATTAAATAAATACAAAAGAATTGAAATCATTGTACCAACACATTTTTTGTTAAAAAAGAGAATTGAAATTATTCCGTGCATCCTATCAGATAACAGTGTACTGAAATTAGAAATCAATTGCAAAAGAAACCACAGAAATTTTACTTACAAGTGGATATTAAATAACACTCCTGAACATTCAGTGCATCATAGGAGAAATCAAGAAAGAAATTAAACAGATTTTAGAATCAAATGATAATGCCAATACAACATACCAGAATCTATGGGAAACAATGGAAGCAGTCTGAAGATGGAAATTTATTTTCAGAAATGCTTACATTAGAAAAACAAGGTGAGCTCAAATAAATAATCTAATGATGCTAGAACAAGAAACTAGAATAGAAATAATCCAAAGACCTCAACCCACAGACTCATGCAGTCAAATAATTGTAAGAAGAGTAAGTATTTTTAGAAATTTACATTTAATAGGAAGAAAAAGGGGCAAAGGGGAGGGGGAAGTGAGAGGGGTAGGGAAAGGAAAGAAGGGAATGGAATTAATATGAGAAAATGAAAAAGTGGAAACAAAGTCTCTGTAAATAGGGAGGGATGGAGGGGTTGAAGGGAGGGCAGGGGAAGGGGGAAAAATAAGAACCAAGAGAGTATGTAAAGGTGCATTATCTCCAATGATGAATGTCACTATATTGTACACCTAAAACGTACCAATAAAAGGATATACAAAAAAAAAAGAAATTTACATTTAGACACAGCACAATAAAACTGAAGAAAACAAAAGATAAAGAGAAAAATCTTAAAAGTAGCCAGAGGAAAAAGATGGATCACTTTACTGATATTTCTCTTGTAACCTGCTGCCTATCTTTTTCTACTCTCATGTTTGTTTGTTTTGGTACGTGAGATTGAACCCAGGGCCTTTGTTCTGAGCTACATCCTCACCCTTTTTATTTTGAGACAGGGTCTTGCCAAGCTGCTCCAGCAAAACTCAAACTTTTAATCCTCCTGGCTCAGGCTCCCTCAGTGCCAGAGTCTACGCTCACTTTTCAATCCAGCCATTGCTTTGGCAACACATTTCACACCTCCATAGTCTCATAGTGTCTTCCTTTGACACCGGGAATGGCATGTTTGTCACTGAGTCATGAGCTGCCTATGGAAACTGGCTCTGTACTTAACATGTGCATGATCTGGAAGTGCAGGACAGGTAGGTGTCTTCGCTACTTTCTCATTGCTAGGACAAAATGCCCGACACCCACAAGTTAAAGGAGGAAAGGTTTATTTTAGCTCACATTCTGTAGAGGTTTCAGTCCACAGTTCATTGGCTCCAAAGCAGGAGGGCAGCATGGCAGAGGAGAAATAGCTCATGACAGGGCAGGAAGGAGGTAGCCAGCAGTGGGCCTTCCTCTCCTTTTTATTCCATTCGGGCTACAAGCCTATTTGTTGGTGCTACCCACACCCACGGTGGGCTTTCCCATTATCCACACCTAAAAATATGCTAAACCAATCAGTGCACTAATTTAGTTATCACACACCCAGGATCCAGCCACTCTCAATGAGCCCATGAGGCTTTGAGGGAGGCAGCTAGATATAATCCATTACAGGAAATTAACAAGCCGGAGGGAACCTTTGACCAGTGAGGGTTGGAAGCCTTTCTGTTCTCTGTGAAGGTAACTCTGCTGTGTATTCTGTTCCTTTGGTGGATAATTTAGAGATATATTCTAGATAGCCTCCTTGGAGGGGTCAGTAAGATTCGGCTTCAGAGTTTATAGTAGTGACAGCTTTAAAACTAAATTTCCAGGGAGTAGGGGATACAATTCAGTGGAGAGCACTTGCCTAAAATGTGCAAGGCCCTGAGTTCAGTCCCTAGTGCCACAAAAACAAAAACAAAATGACAACAACTAGATCAGTAAGATTTTCTTCCTTCCCTGTTACATTTTCCCCAGACACTAAACACACCTAGTGCCAATCAAGATGAAAAAATAAAGCAAAAACAAAAAAATTCAACTTTATGGTGTTTACAAGATATACATTGAAAATGAGGATATAAAAGGCTGTGGAAGCAGAAAAAAATGTAAATACATAGGAACATTCACTTTCCAAAAAAAAAAATCTTGTTTCACTGTATACAGAGAGGAGATAAGAATGGGTTGAGGTTCAATGGTAGAAACAAATACGAGAATGAGTTAAAAGATAAGGGATTATTTAGTGGTCAAAGTCAGAGATGGCTAAAGAAGAAAATGAGGACTGATGAGTCGGGGATAGAATTAGGAGTTCAGTGTCCGTTTGCCACATTGTGTGTAGGTGTAAAATAACAGACATTTTTTACATTTTACCATAGCTATTGATTGATCAAAACAGCAGCATCAAAATAACCCTTTCAAATGCTTTGGTCTTGACAAGCATCTTGGAGGCACTTGGACACCTGAAGCATGAGCAAGTGTTATGTAGACAGAGTGGGATGGGCAGAGGATGTGGAAGGAACGGCATAAGCAAAGGCGCAGGTGCACACTGCAGGCAGGAAGTGTGTCCCGGGAGATGGCACAGCCCAGCTGCTAGAGGAAGACAGGGAGAGAACTAAGGCCAGGGAACAGTGGTAAGGACAGATAGCAAGGCTTTTGTACACCGTGTTGGAGCCCAAGAGTTAATACTGTTTGTAATGGGGAGCCTTGGAAAGGTTCTAAGGAAGCTACATGGTCATGAATAAACATGGAGATGGAAAGAAAAGCCAACTGTTAGGAATGCATGCAATAAATAATGTTAAAATGTGTGTATTTTCACTTTATAAGATTGGAAATGAATGGTTTATTACCATTAATTTATTTTATTCCCTTTAGAGTTGATTGTCAAAACAGTTAATTGATTGCTTCTCATTCTGATTTATCCACCCATGTCTTGTTGATTACTATGAGTCAAGAAAACATGCTATGAAAAAATCAGACAGATCTTGACTTACTAAGATATAAACAGTCCCATGAGAAACTAATGGCTAACTGTTCATTTTGTTATCGGCCACTTAGCGCCACACACTCAGGTTTGCTTGCTCCTGACTAAATCAGAGGAGGCCATTTATTTTGGTTTAAAAAAAGGGAAAAAAGGATTTATTCAAAGGTAGCTCCCAGGAGATGGAGGAGCCTTATCACCCAAAGCCCTATCTCACCGTATATAGGTGTGTTAGGGTCTTTTATAGCAAGAAACAAAGGAGAGAGATAATACAATGAGATAACAGGTATGTTCAGGATTGTTTCATCCCTTCCTGGACCAGCTCCTCCCCTTTTCTGATGGAAATAAAACTGGATTTTGCCAACACCTGCATATTAACTGGGCTGAGAGGAGTGAGCAGTGGCTATGCCTGAGGCATGAGGAAGTTTGGAGAAGCCACTTGAAAGGAAAAAAAAAAAATCTATCTTTCAAAGTTCAATTTTGCTGTGCCATTGACAATTTTATACTTTCCATCAGTATATCTTAATTGTGACAGAATACAGAACTTACATCTTGAAAGAGGTAAATTTGTGACAAATAAAAGAAAGAACTGGGCCAGGGATTTAGCTCATTGGTTTCACGCCTGCTGTGCAAGCACAAGGACCCAAATTCAATCCCCAGTACCAAAAAAACCCCAAAAACAAAAACAAAAAGAAAGGACTTACTTATTTACTGTTATACCTTTAGGAAATCCATTCATCTTCAAGTGTTAAAGCATCCAATAGAGACTAGACAGACTTTTAAAGCATGGATTCAATGTAGATTCTCAAGAAGCACCTTTAAAGCACCTTAATGGATAATCCTTTCACAAATAATGAGATTTATAGAAAATATGAAGAATGCTCAATAAGAATTCTACAGAAAGGTTTATAATTCTAGAGATGGAGTACAAATTCAAAATCTGCTAAGATGGCTGACTCAAACTCAAATGGATAATATAAATGTATTTATTTAGCTCTGGGCAGCTTCAAATTCTACCAATTAATTGTACATTATTCACAGCCCTTAAGAAAGGTAGCCATTATTTTGTCTATAACAACAATGTTTCCACCTACCAGCGAGGGTGCCTTTGCCTTCCACAGCAACTCATCAGAATCTGCATATTCTGGATCGTACACCCATATAGACACAACCTACAAAAGAAAGCGCACAATATTTGGATTTCTTTATGTTTTGTACAAATTTCATTTTTAATTTTGGAAAAGCAATCACAAAAATGTTTTAATTTATTGAAAATATTTTGGCAACTCCATTAAAAAATCAAAAGCAATATTCGTAAGTTTTAATAATTAAAACAAGCCTAAGACCTACGACAGGTTAAAATAGCCCTCTAAACTCTCAAGTAACTAATATTAAAATTTCATACAAATGCTCGCATGGCTTTCTTTATACTCATAAATAGGCACAGCAGCCCCCCACACTCACATTGATACACTTTTCACACAAAAAATCATCTTATCTATGTTATTTGTGACTTATTTTTGTCATTTGACACAACATGATCATGTTAGCAGGTATGGGTCTGTTTTTTTTCTTATCTCTTCTTGAATAGATAATTTATTTGTATAGTTAAAACAAATTTAAAACTACAGCAAAAGCTGTTCCTCCTACCCTGTACTCCAGGAACTGTTCCTACAAGTCTCCCTGTACAACACAAGTACTAGTTACTAAGTTCTTGTTCATATTTCTGTGCAGTCATAAAGATCATATTGAAATGCTCTCATGCTACATACATACTTTTCTGAACTCTAAGTTCGTCACTTATTAGAGATCTTTATATATTCTCACAAATTTTTCAGTTCCAGATTATTCCAAATTATGAAGGAATCCTAATTTCCTTAACCAGCAGTTAATTCCAGTTCTTAATTTTAAGAGAATTCTAGCATGTTTTCTTTGTTGTTACTGGATTCATTGTTTTAGATATTCAACCCATTTCAAATTTATTCTAGTATACTATGTGAGGCATGACTGTAATCATTTTTATTCCCGTCTTTTTGTTTTTTTGGTACTGGGGATCAAACTCGGGACCTTGAGCTTGCAAGGCAGGCAGCAGAACCACTGAGCTAAATCCCCGGCCCTTGACTCTAATCATTTTTAAAATCATAGAGATACTCCACTCAGTGGCAAAGGAAACAGCAGCAGAGTTTATTAAGGCCGTAATCTACTCGGAATGAGTGAGCTAGTGCTGATGAAAGCAAAGTGTCGTGAGCACTAGGGCACAGGGTGCAGGGGTTTAAATGTTGCACCCACTTTAGGGTGCCTCCTATCAGAGCATGATTGACAGGGTGCTGACTCATGTTAGCTGTGTCTATTGGACATATCTTTTCCCATAATTCACTGTTTTAATTGCATGTACGAGATGCAGTCCATATGCATGAACCTTCAATGAGCTCCAGGTGAAGAACAGTTACTCCATGTCACATAGGGAGGTCTGGTGTGCATCTGTCCTGGTGTGGAATTTTGGATTTTTCCGTGGTGGTGGTGGGTGCCTTTGTTTCCCTTTTCCGCCTCTGTGTAGTAAGCACTGGGGCAATGTGGGGAGCATTGCCCAGGTTCCTGTGGGCAGAGGGAAAGAGTCCTGCAGCAAGTGGAGGAGAGCAGCCCCACAGACCTCGACTGTACTAATACCCAGTTATGTCACACATTGATTGACTTGTCCATCTTCTCTTCACTGATTTAGGATGCTATCTTCATTACATAGTAAGGATTTCAACATATTTTGGTTATTTCTAGATTTCTATGCTGTTCTATTGGTCCTGACTGCCTTGTCAAGAGTATCTCAGTTTAAATACAAAGGATTCAGAGTGTGTTTAATGCCTGATAATATTGTTACTAGCCACTCAGATTCATATGCCTGGGTTCATTTGTTCACTGCTGATTGTTTTGGTAAAAAAGGAAAAAGGATTTATTCAAAGCCAGCTCTAAGCAGACAGAAGGACCCATTTTTCTCAAATCACCCTCTCACCATGTACAGGTGTGTAAGGCCTTTTCTAGCTAGGAATAGTGTAGGTGGGGAATACAATACAACAGACATATTCAGGCTCCTTTCATCCCTTCCTGCACCCAGCCCTCTCCCTGCCTCGCCTAGGATTTGATCTCCTAGTGCCAGCATCAGCATATTCTGTCCATTCAGCTGAGCTGAGGAGAGGTAGAGGTGGATATTTATGCCCAAGGCCTGAAGAATTTTAGAGAAGCCACTTGTCCTTAAAGGAACAAATTGAACTTGTAACTGGCACCTGCATTTTGAAGTGCCATTTACAGTATGACCAGTATCCTATCTCTGTTCTTATTCAGTGTCTTTCTGAACACTATTGATTTATTTGATGGATTTTGTTTATCTATAGGAACTCAGGAAACCCCTGGTCTAGTTCTGAAAAAAATATAGCTTTATTTAGATAGGATAACATTTTTAGATTTTTCTATCTTTATGTTGTACAGTGCACTTATCAGTAACAGTCTGCCTTTCCTTCAGTTCTCAAGTTTTGTGATATAGATCCTGTACACTTTATCCTACAAAATTCTCAAGACAGACTGAGAAATAGAGAGGGTTACTTTTGCTTTAGGGGCTCCTTCAGATTCAAATCAGGTATACCAGCTCACATGCTAGGCAAAAGTCCTCTGTCCTGACTCCTATCTTATAGACTGCTGCTAGGGATGCAAGTATTCCCTGGCCTTTGCTCACCTATGAGGGACAATCTTCTGAAATATGCTACTATTAAATTTCATTTTATTTATAAACCTTTTAAAGAGTTTTTAAATTATTGTGTGATTTCTTGTTAAAGTGGGAATGAATATCTTTCATGCTCTTCTGTATTTGCCTGGAGGTCTTAATATTTAGTTCAAAATAGTTTCTAATTTTCATTTTATTTTAATTTTTGACCCACTGATATATGTATTTAAAAATTCCTCAACATGGAGACTTTTTAGGTAATTTTATTAGTTGTTTCAAGGTTCATTGCATGGTAGTTAGGGAGTGAACTCCCCATGATTGCAGTTCTTGGCTGTTTATTGAGACTTGCTTCATAACAACAACAACAACAACAACAAAATATATATATATATATCCATTAGGTAAAGTTTGTAAGTATATTCATATTTTATAATTCCTAGTGATTTTTAAATTTGGTTTTAAAAACAGTGATTGTTTTTCTCTTTGCCTTTGTTTCTTTGTAGTTTTGTTATGATGAGACTAGTTGTCTTCTTTTTACTTATTTTTATTGCGGTTCTTAGGGTCTCTTCATCATGAGGGTGGCATCTTTCAGAAAATTTTAGTCATGATCTCCTAAATATTGTGATTTTTTCAAATTAGTATGTTTGCAGTACATAATAATTACATTAGCTGTGGGGAGTAGGAATATGTACATCACACACCTTAATTTTTATTGTATTATGTTTTGTGTCCTTTACCTCAATGATCTGATGGGTGATAATGACAGATTCCTCTATATGTAACAATTAAACTATTCCTGAAATACTAATAATTATGGTGTATCATTGTTTTGATGTCTTCTGGATACTTCTTATTGCTCTTTTATTCAAAAAATTTTCATATATGTAACTATTAAGGAATGTCAGTTTTTAGAATCATCAAATTTTAGATTATAGTTATGCTGGATTTACAAATTGAGAATCTTTCTGTAATTTATTTTTTATTTTTTTGGTTTTTTTGAGGCAGGGTCTCCCTTTGTAGTTCAGGCTGGCCCTGAACTATGAACTATGTAGTCCAGGCTGACCTTGAACTCATTTAAAGATATGTGTATGTATTTACTTATTTTAAAACTATAATAAACTCATTATAGATTAACCAACACATTTTATGCAAAAATACCTATGTTTTTCAAATTTAAAAAATTTAACATTTTCAAAATCTTTTTAGTATCTGCAACAACAGAAGGAGCTCTGTTCCTGCTGTTTGGTGTACATTGTTTTGGTGGAAGCATATGGGAAAAAACTCCATCCTCACATAGATACATGGTTGGAAAAGGGTGGCCCTCATGGACCCCTTCCAAATAGGTCCTAGGGAGCCCTATGCATCCTTAAAACATATCTCAGGTACCATTACTCTCAACAAATTTTATTGCAAAATTACCCCGGAAAATTCCTCATCTAATAAATATTGAAAATAAGAGGAAAATAATATATTAGCAATATATGAAGGATATATAAAATTGAAAAATATTTTACCTGGGTTAAATTTTCAAATATATTTCTGTTGGGAAAAAGAGGAAACATTTTAATAAACAGCATGTTTTATATTAATTTGAATGTTCTGCTTTAAAGCCATTGGATATTCTTTTTATGTTCCATCATACATATATAAACACTTAGAGGCTGAATGTAGAAATAAAAATGAAATTTACATATGTTTATTTACTTATCAATATATTTATTGACTATCATTTGTCATTGCAGAAGATTGCAGGGCTTAAATTTGCATTCTTTCCTTAACAATACTGTAAGTTCACATAATCAAGGATGCATGATTAATTCTCTCTAAAAACTTAATATTTTCGTGCTCGTTTTGGCAGCACATATATTAAAAACTTGATATTTTCATTTCACATAAAAGCCTGTAGTGTTGACATAGTGCAATTTATGTCAAATATAAAGCCACTCTTTAGCACTACAAATCCTTCATTCTCCAACACTGAAAGGAAAAGTATTCATTTGCATGTTTACTTGCATCCTTTTTAGAAAGTAGGGCTTTTCATTTTAAGGTCATCTGTACATATTTTTTATACAATCTCTAAAAGTCAGTATACCTGAGGACTATTTTCTTGCATTTACAATTGCTACATAATTCCTAGTACATTGTGTATGCACACAAAAATGGAAATAATTTGAGAATCAGCACATGGGTATGCAGTGAGTTTCTGAATATACTGTTTCATATGTGCAGCCCAATGTGTTAGAATGCTACTGAAAATAGGCACTATAATTTTTTTGTGTGGTGCTGGAGATTGAACCCAGAGCCTTGTCCATTCTTGGAAAGCACTCTACCTCTGAGCTCCCTACCCACAAGGTAAAATAAATCTTGACTGGTAAATTATACTCCCTATGAACATAATTCAATAAAGACAAGAGTGATAAAAAGATCCCTGGCACCATGGTGGATCTGATTTGCCTCATGCTATGCTACCTATCAGGGGCACAGAAGAGAAGTGGGCTACTGAATGATTTACCAGTGCATCTGCAGAGCAAAATATGAAGGCCAAAGGAGAAATCTATAAATAATAAAAGAAATCTTTGTTGTTAATACTGTAACCTTGTAGAGAGAGGATCAGTACCAGTTGATACAATGATCCTGATTCCCATGGAGAAAGCAATGTCAGCAGAATTCTGCTGTGTCTGCATCAGTTTGCTTGGCTTTTTTGAGCAGGTGCTCAGAAGTGTAGAATAAGAAGGCAAGGGAGAGAACCCTGGACTCAACTGACATTTAAGATAAGGCTACATGACAAAAAAAAAGAAAGAAAGAAAGAAAGAAAGAAAAAACAAAAAGACAGGGAAAGAATCATTATAGAAATAGAAAACTGTGGTATTAGATGAATAAAAGAATGAAAGGATATCAAGGAGAAATGAGTGATGTGCAACATTAAGATGGTGTGGAAATCAAGTAGCAAGAGGACGAACAGAAAAGTCCCACCAAACTTGTCAGTTAATGTGCCCTCTTGGATTATTCATCTTCCCATTTGGTATTCTAATCTGTCAGGGAGGGACAGGAAAGAAAAGGAGAAGGGAAAGGGAGAGGAGGAGAGGTGGGAGAGAGAGAGAGAGAGAGAGAGAGAGAGAGAGAGAGAGTGAGTTTAGTCGCTAACATGATTCTTGTCCTCAGAAATGTCTTTCTTAGTGCCAGAACATTGGTTTGGGGGCAAACAGAGTCAGTGGATTTAGAGAGCCCAAGGAAGAGGCAACGCTCCCAAGCACTCTGTCCTCTGCATTATTTATCTTGATATTTTAATAAATCTATCTCTGAATCTGAGTTTTGTAAATACTTATTTGTAAATAAGTATGACAGGTCAATGGAGCATGCGTTGGGGGCTTGGGGCTTTGGCTCATGCACAGTACCGACTCCTGCTCCCTCCATGCCTCCCTGGGACAGGTTCTTTGCTACTCATTCCTCCAAGCTCTGGCACCTTTGGTCCTCACTGGCCATCCCCTTATTCCCACTGTTCCCAAAATGACTTCTTCCTTGGCCAAGGGCCTAGGCCAGGTGTGGGAATGATCAGTATAAGGCATGTGCACCTAGTACCTTCTTAGAGTAAGACTTGGAGGCAGCTGTCTCATTCCTGGCTGGCAGCGTCATGATGTGGCTCCTGGAGTCCTGATCTTGGCAGGAACTGAGCCTCTTGCTCCATTGGATTGGAGCCATCTCCAATCCAAGTGTCTAGCACATGTCATTGCAGAGATTGCAGTACCTTGGGAGCTCCCCATATGCCATAAATTGAGGTAGTAGACCCACAGAAAAGGAAGATACCTGACTGAGTTTTCTAGACTCCATCACTGAGTAGTAATATGATGGATTCACACATATGTGTGGATCTACTGAGAGAAAAAGCTAGTGCAAAGCCATCAGTTGGTAGGCCATGTACATGCTGAATCACAGGTCTGTAATGGGCCCATGAATATTGCCATGTCTGAGGAAGGCTGACATTATATTGTAAATAAAAAGCATTATACCAGATAATGACGGTGAGTAACCAAAAAACAAGATTTATATTTAATACTTTTAACATTATTTTCTTCAAATTTTTGAACAAAAGGTCCCACACTTTTATTTTCCATCAGGACCCAAAATTATGTAGCCAATTCTGAATGCAATGATGCAAAACTGGCAGATAATATGATGGTTGCTTCTGGATTATAAGGCTTTAGGAATTTAAAAATTTTAGATATAAATGAAATTATATCTACAATAAAAATTATAAAACATTCCTGAAAGAAATTAAGAACACACACACAATGAAGACATTCCATGTTCATGGACTGAAAGAAGTGATATTGTTAAAATGTCCATCCTACCCTAAGTGATTTACAGACTCAATGCAATATCCATCAAAATACCAATGGCATTCTTACAGAAATATAACAAAATCCTAAAATTCACTTAAACCCACAAAAGACCCCTAGAAACCAAGGCTATTTTGAACAAAATGAACAAAGGTGGAGGCATTCACAATACCTGCCCTCACAGTCAAATAGAGGCCTGGGTCTAGGTAAGTTCTCTGATGACTTATACCAAGTATTTAGGGAAAAATCACACCAATTCTCTGTGATATCTTTCATAAAGTAGAAAAAGGAATATTTCCTAACTCATCCTATGAAACAAAATCATCCCAATACCAAAACCAAAGACATTACAACAAAACTACAGACTTAGACACAAAAATCTTCAAAAAATATTTTCAAATCACGTCTAAAAATGTACAAAAAGAATTAGACATCTTGTCCAAGTGTGTTTAATCACAGGCATGCAAAGCTGGTTTGATATAAAAGCAATTAGTGTAATACATTATATTAACAGGCTAAAGACAAATCATAAGATCATACTGACAGATGCAGAAAAGTATTGGATAAAACTTATCATCCATTCATAAAAAAGACTTAGCAAACTATGAATAGAGATATAATTTCCTCAAATTGGTTTTTAAAATCTACAAAAACTTTCAGGAAGCTAAAAGAAAGATCAGAAAGAAGGCAGGGATGTCCCTTCTCAACATTTTTTTTCAGCAAGAGACTAAGATGTACTGTTTGGGGAGGAAAAAATAAAACTACCTTCATTTGTAGATGACATGATTGTCTGTAAAATAAATGACCAAAATCAAACATCTTCTGGACTAATAAGCAGCCATATATATGGCAGGGTTGCAGGATACATGGTTAATATACAAAAGTCAATTGCTTTTCTATATACCATGAATGAGAAATGAAATTTCAAATTAAAAATTTGGTATCATTTACATTTGGAATCCAAAAAAATATGTAGGTATAAATCTCAAAACATATATACAAGAGCTATATATGGAAAACTAGAAAACTGACAAAATAAAGCAAAGAAGTAAATAAGTGGATAGATGTTCCATGTTCATGGATAGAAGAAGTCAATACTGTCAAGACATCATTGTTCCAAACTGATTTACACACTCAATGCAATCCCAATAAAATTCCCAACAAGTTATTTTGTAAATATTGATAAGCTGATTCTAAAGTTTGTATGTAGAGGTAAAAAGACCCCAAATAGTCAACACAATGTTAAAGGAGAAGAACACTGTCAATACCAGGTATGCTTGCAAGAACATGGAGCATCAGGAACTCTGCTCATGTGAACACAAAATAAAATAGATACTTTAGAAGACACTTTAGTTTGGTGGTTTTTTAATAAAACTAAACAAATGCCATACCATCCAGCATTAAGTAGCACTCTGTGGTATTTCCTCAAAGGAGTTGAAAACTTATCCCCATGCGAAAAATTGAAAGGAAATGTTTATAGCAGTTTTATTGATAATTACCTAAACTTGAAAGAAAGTCTTCCAAATTACTGAACTCATCCAAGCTTACATTTCCTCTTCTATTAAATACACATAATAGTAATACATGTGTGATTATTATAAAAATTAGAAATGTGATGTATATAAAGTATGAACATGTAGACACAGGATGTGTTTAAATAGTGGTTGCTATTGTCATTTTCATCATTTTATTATTCAGTACTACTTTGGCATCATATTTGAGGATATCTTGGTTGGTGAATAAAACCAAGCTTGTCTGAAAACCATAATATAGATAATTCATTTGTGATTAATTAAAAGTTGAAGCTAAATATTCTAAAAGCATTAATTATCTTTGTATTTCATACTGTGTTACTCACATAACTGTATAATACCACAGGAAACAAATATAAGTAGTGTCCACAGTCAAATAGCGTTCTTCTTCTTGCTAAAAGAAAATATACATAATATTATCAGTTAATTAAAAAACATATACAAATATGGACTGTTAAGGTTTATATCTAAAACACCCCCCAAATTTCTCATGCATGTGGAAGGTGATTGGGTCACTGGGTGCTATACTTGTCAGTATATTCATCCACTGCATTTTGTGTTATTCATCCATTTTGCCTTTTTCTTTTAGGAAGAAGAGGAACACTGTTTGTCTGTGGGCACTTCTCACATCTGGTTTCTATTTATTGCACAATTATGTAAGTAACACAGTATTCTTTCACTAATGAGTTGTGGAGCTGAGTGTACTGTTATGAGGTAGGCCTGGTTGGCAGTAAGTCACTGGGGATGTCACCTGGAAGGGTGTATTCTTGTTTCTGGCTCCTCCCTCTCTCTCTACTTCTGGCTGCCATGTGTTGAACTTCTTTTCCTCTGTCATGCTCCTCTGCCATCCTATTTCTGCTGTGGAGCCAGCCAATCATAGACTAAATCTGTAAGCCAAAATAAACCTCCTCTTTTAAGTTTTGGGTGTTGGGTATTGTGTCCCAGCAACAGAAAGTGGCTAAGACATGGACATAGGCATAAAAGTCACTGAGGAAGTATGTTACTTATCTAAGATTAGAGAAAAAAGAATGGATAAATTTCAAAGTAGAATTAATAAACATATAAAACTAATTCGATTCTTTAGGTATTCTCAGTAAGAATTTGCTATCAGGAATGACACATTTAGAAGACATTTGATAGCTTGCTTTCCTTATTATTTCTATTATATTTTTCTTCCTCATTGATTGACAGTTCAATTCCAGTTCAGCGGTTCTCAACTGGAGTAATTTTGCTCCCCAGGAGACATGATGTAGCACTGCCTGGAAATGCTTTTGGTTGTTGCAACTGCTTTCAAATATATTTCAAAACTTTAACATTCAAATTCAGGTTGTAGGATCTGATGACACTCAGGCACCCAAATGACAAAGATATTCCTACCTATGTGTGTATCTGTGTGCATATTTTTACACATTATACATTTATATGGCTCTCAATGTAAACAAAAGGGATAAAGGTCCTTTATTTCTTTATGAATTCTTGAAACTTGTAGGTACTCATAGACTCAAAAAGACAAATTCAATTATTTTTTCCTCTATTGGGATTTAAAAATGAGTTACTATTCATCTGTTCTTTTTCACACACTCTACCTGTGCCCTGAAAATAAAGATAATTAAAGACAAGACACAAGTCTCCAAAGTAAAGGCAAGAGTCATCACAGGGAGTCTCTGTAGCAGTAGCTTTAGATACACTACTATGGGAACATCAGTCATCAGTTATGTGGCCAGTAGCCTGCTACTAACCATTAAAATACTAATGCCTTAAAATCCTTTACATTGTGTTTGTCTTTGGCAAGCTAGAGAAAATCCAGCATCACTGTTAGTCTTTGCATTTACAGATGTTTTCTTAAATTGAAGAAAATACAATGGAGTACAAAAATCTGCTCTGGGTATTGTGTCATAGGAATGCATGATGTGAGACCCATTTATCTAAAAGTACCATTTTCATTAAATTAGTGGCTATGAACTTCAACATACTTATCAATAAAAAAGCTAAGGTGGAGGTTTGGGGTATAGCTCAGTGGTACAATACTTGTCTAACATGTGCTTCCCAGGGTTCAATCGTTAGCACTGCAAATGAATGAAGGGATGAATGATAATGAAAAAATTAATTAATTAATGACTAAAAATTTCAAAACTAAGATAAAAATCAGTTTTTACTTTATAATTTGACATGAAATATACCTAAAAGTTAATGACATACTGACAAAAATTTTAAAATAGTTGTCATTTGGAGTTACAGTTAATACAATTTAAAGCAGATTAAGTTAGGTTGGAAAGCTCAAAAGAAAACAAAAGAAAATGTAACAGAGATTATTATCCAAGATTCAATTAGTTATCATTAAAATCAACTTACTGGGCCTGTAACAATTGGTTTTATAGAGTGAACACCCTGAGAACAACGCATTTCTGTCTTGGGTGATCTAGCATTTGAAAAGAAGAGGAAAGAAGAAATAAGAACAGATGCATATGAGATTAATGAAAATTCCCCCACTATTTTTTAACCTAAAAACTTCAATTATCAGCCGGGGATCTAGCTCAGTGGTTCCAGCTCTTGCCTCTCAAGTGCAAGATCCCAAGTTCAATCCCCAGTACCAAAACAAAAACAAAAACTTCAATTATTGTATACCAATATGAGAAAGTTTTAAACTTGTAAATATTTTACTTCTATTGTATTTTCAAAATGACTTTGTCTCTGTTTTCAGATCTATTTTATGGATGGAAGGAAATGTACTTTAAATCACAGCCTTGAATCTGAATGTCCACTTTACACAGATGTGTTTTTACATATAAATACATTGATATTGACAGTTAAAAATCTTACCTTTTATCTTGGATAGAACAGGTTTCTGGCACTTGCCATTCAGAAAATAATGTTCCTTCATACTCTAACTTGATCTAAAAAACAGTGATAGAATTCAAATGAAAAACTATTTCAAAATATTCACCTCAATGTTCAGTTTTAAGTTCAAATTTGGGGTCCTTATTATCTAAAGAAAAGATAACTAAAATTTAATTATTTGAAAGTAACATGACAAAAGAAAATAGCTTATTGAAACACTTCAGTAATTTCTCTAAAAATCTCTGATGTTGGGCTGGGAATTTAGTGGGAGAATGCTGGCCTTGCATATGTGAGGCCCTGAGTTTGATTCCCAGCACTGCAAAACAAATAAAATCTACCTGTAAACTTAAAACTGGGAGTTGGAGACTGAACCCCAGGTCTTGCTAGCACAACTCTACCAATGAAATACAACCAGAGCCCCAGTAATACTCTTAATTGAATTTTACTTAAAACATAATCTATCAGATATCTGGGAAGATGGTGGGGTGGTAAATATCAACAAATCAACTGCTGTGAGATTTGGAATCTAGAACCTGGAAAATAACAACTTGGGAAAGAAAAGAAGGAGAGAAGTGGATCACTGGGACCCAGGAAGGATCTGAAGGGAAAATTGTAGCCCACAAAGAAAGTGAAGACCACAATGCAGAAAAAGGAGAGCTCAAGCTGTACTTTCTCCCCAGCTTCTGGCTATGGCATGAGATTTAAATCAACAAAAAATCAGAAGATAGAACAAAGGACATAAAAGACCTGTTCACAAAAGTAATGGCAGAAAACTTCCCAGGCATGGAAAAAGAATTTGACAAACAGATAAGGGAGGCATACAGAACTCTCATTAGCCACGATCAGAAAAAAAATACATCAAGGCATATAATAGTCAAGAACACAAGAACAGAATATTAAAAGCTGTTAGAGAAAAGAAACAAATCACATACAAAGGAAAGTCCATCAGGATCACAACAGACTTTTCAACACAAACCCTTAAGACAAGGAGACCTTGGCATGAAGTATTTCAACCCCTAAAAGAAAACAACCTCTAAACCAGACTAATGTACCACTCAAAACTATCTTTCAAAGTTGATGGATAAATAAGATATTTCCATAAGAAAGAACACCTGAAGAAATTCATGACCACCAAACCAGCACTCTAAACCAGCACTCAAATATCTGAAGGATATTCTAGAAAAAGACAATTCCATGAATCTCAATAGAATGAAGCCACCAGGCAAGGCAAGCAATAAAACAGAGGGTAAAGAAAGGGAACCAACAGTAGGAAAATAATATGACAAGGATAAGTCAATACATATCAGTTATAACCATCAATGTAGATGGTCTCTGTTCACCAATCAAAATAAACAGAATGGATCAAGAAACAAGATCAAACAATATGCTGCATACAAGAAACACATTTAATTCAAAAAGAAATTCATAGGCTGAAAGTCAAAGGATGGAAAACAACACTCCATGTGACAGGAACCTGGAAAAAAGCAGGGATAGCTATTCTATTTGCAGACAAAGTGGATTTCAAGCCAAGACTGATCGAAAGAGACAAAGAAGGTCACTACATCCTTGTAAAGGGAATAATCCAAGAGGAAGAGATAATAATCATAAATATATATCACCAAATACTAGCTCACCCAACTGTATAAAATACATATTAATGGACATGAAAAATCAAATAAGCACTAATAAAATTGTAGTGGGGGACCTCAATACCCTACTGTCACAAATAGATCAACTAGATAAAAAATCAACAAAGAAGTATCAGAACTGAACCAAACCTTTGAACAAAAGGACTTAGTAGATATCTATGAAGTGTTCCACTCAACAACAAAAGAATACACATTCTTCTCAGCTGCACATGGGATGTTCTCCAAAATAGACCACACACTAGCTCATAAAACATGCTTAAGTAAATGCAAAGGAATTGAAATTATCCCATGCATATTATCAGATCATAGTGCAATGAAACTGGAAATCAATGGCAAAAGAAAACACAAGAACTTCATAAACAAATTAAATAACACTCTCCTGAACAACCAATGGGTCAAAGATGAAATTAAAGAAATCAGACAGTTTCTACAATTAAATCATAATGCCAATTCAACATACCAGAACTTATGGGACACAGTTAAAGTAGTAGAAATGTATAGCAGTGAATTCCCATACCAGAAAAAAAGAGCAAGCTCAAATAAATAACCTAACATTGAACCTTAAAGTTCTAGAAAAAGAAGAGCAAGTTAGACCCAAAGCACATACGAGGGAGAAAATTATAAAGATCAGAGCAGAAATTAATGCAATTGAGACTAAGAGAACAATACAAAGAATCAATGAATCAAAGAGTTGGTTCTTTGAAAGATTAATTAAAATAGACAAACCCTTAGTAACCATATCAGAAAAAGGAAAGACTCATATCCATGTTATTAGGAATGAAAAAGGTGAAATCACAATCAATTCTGCAGAAATCCAGAAGATCATCAATACCTACTTTGAGAACCTGCACTCTAATAAGATGGAAAATGCAGAAGAAATGGACAGATTCCTAGTTAAACACGGATTTTACCAAAGCCAAATCACAAAGATATAAAAATTATAAACAATCCAATATCAGTCAATGAAACCAAAGTAGTAATTAAAAAACTACCAGCAAAGAAAATCCCAGGTCCTGATGGATTGATTCACTGCTGAACTCTATAAGAACTTTACAGAAGATCTACTGCTACTACTCCTCAAACTCTGTATTGAAATTGAAAGGGAAGCATACTTCCAAACTCATTCCTGGAAGCAAGCATTACTCTGATACCAAAACCAGAGAAGGATCCAACCAAAAAAGAGAACTACAGGCCAATCTTCTTAATGAACATGGATGAAAAAATTCTTAGTAAGATACTGCCAAACAATGTGGCAGATCGTCTAGAAGATTATACATCATGACCAAATGTGATTCATCCCAGGGATGCAGGGATAGTTGAACATATCCAAATCAATAAATGTAATTCACCACATCAACAGAACCAAGCCACATGATCATTTCAATAGATGCACAAAAAGCATTTGACAAAGTGCAACACCTATTCATGATAAAAAAAAAAAACCCTACAGAAAATTGGATAGAAGGTCTTTATCTCAATCTAATAAAGTCATCTATGACAAACCAACAGACAGCATCATATTAAATGGTCAAAACCTGAAAGCTTTCACTCTAAAATCAGGAACAAGACAAGGATGCCCACTATCACCACTCTTATTCAATATAGTTCTGGAAGCAATTAGACAAGAGAAATAATGATAGGAAAGGAAGATGAATAATCATTATTTGTTGATGGCATGATAATCTATATAGAAGACCCCACAAACTCCACCAAAAGACTTCTAGACTTAATAACCAAATCCAGTAGTGTACCAGGATACAATGTCAACACACAAAAATCAATAGCATTCCTGTACATAAATAACAAACTCACTGAGAGAGAAATTAGTGAAGCAACCTTTCACAATAGCATCAAGAAAAATGAAATACTTAGGAATCAATCTAATGAAGGAAGTAAATTATATTGAAGGAAGTAAATTTACATTGAAAATTATAAGCACTCTGAAAAAGGAGATCAAAGAGGATATCAGAAAATGGTAATAAGCAGAACCTATTACTATTATTATCTTGGATAGGCAGAACCAATATAGTGAAAATGGTCATACTTCCAAAACGGTTATACAGATTTAATGCAATCCCAATCAAGATGCCAATAGCATACCTTACAGAACTAGAGAAAAAAATCCTAAAATTCATTTGGAACCAGAACAGACCTAGAATAGCAAAAGCAATTCTGAGCAACAACGGCAAGACCGGGAACATCACAATCTCTGACTTGAAATGATAGTGCAAAGTTACTGTGATAAAAACAGCATGGTACTGGCAAAAGAACAGACCTGAGGATCACTGGAACAGAAGAGAAGATGCAGAAGCAACTCTAAACACACTCAGGTACCTTATCTTTGATAAAGGGGCCAAAAACCTTCATTGGAAGAAAGAGCCTCTTTAATAAATGGTACTCAGAAAACTGGCTTTCCACATGCCAAAGATTAAATCTAGACCCATATCTCTCACCATGCACTAAGCTAAAATGAAATATATCAAAGATACAAATATTAAAACAGAAATATTTAATCTGCTGGAAGATAGAATAGGTAAAACTCTTGAAGACATAGGTATAGGCAAAGACTTTATGAACAAAATCCTGATCACACAGGAAATATAACAAAGTGTCAACAACTGAGATCTCATCATATTAAAAAGCTTTTGTACAGCGAAAGAAATCACCAACATAGTGAAGACACAACTCACAGATTGGGAAAAAATTTTTACCAGCTATTCCTCAGACAAAGGACTAATATTTAGAATGTATAAAGAACTAAAAAAATCAGAGCCCCCAAATTTAAAGATCCAATCCAAAAATGGGCATCTGAAATGAACAGACAATTCTCCAATGAAGTAGAAACAGCAAATAAATATATGAAAAAATGTTCAACATCACTGATCATTCGAGAGATGCAAATGAAAACAACACTGATATTCCATCTCACTCCAAAAAGAATGGCTGCTATCATGAAGTCAACCAACAACAAATGCTGGTGGGGGTGTGGGGAGAAAGGAGCCCTTCTCCACTGTTGGTGGGAGTGCAGACTGGTGCAATCACTGAGGAACTCAATGTGGAGATTCTTCAAAAAACTGAAAGTACAGGTCCCATTTGACCCAGCTATTCCCCTTTTTGGTATCTTTCCAAAAGAGTTAAAAGTTTCATGCCACAATCATATATGCATACCCATGTTTGTAACAGCACACTTTGTAATAGCTAAATCTTGGAAACAGCCCAGGTGCCCATCAACAGATGATTGATAAAGAAAAGGTGGTTTTTATATACAATGCAGTACTATTTTGCCATAAAGAAGGATAAACTTGAGACATTTTTAGGTAAATGGATATACCTTGAGACCATACTTTTAAGTGAAATAAATCTAACACACATAACTATTGCATTGTTTTTCTTGTCTGAGAAACCAAAAGGGTAAATAAGGACCAAAATGGGGGATAGGTATTGGGAAGCAAGAAGAAAATGTTCAAATGGGAAGTAGAACAAGGGAGGGAGGAGGGGAAAGAAAAGGAAAGGAAAAACAAAAAAAAGAAACTAAGAGGAGAAAAATGGGAAAAAAAGCTTTTATAAATAAGGAGGGGAAGAAAGGACAAAAGGAGGGAAATGGGAAAAAAAGAAGAATTGAGATATATAAAGGTACAAATTCCTTATGATGAATGTGATCATGTATATCAAAAGTGTACCAATAAAATTAAATTTTAAAAAATAAAATAAAAATATAGAAAATAAGATCTACAGTATGGCTGACCACACAGATATATCTGTCTACATAGATCCAGTTTACACTTTTTGTATAATTGCTCATTGAATAATTACTATAGTATTCTTCATTCTCAATACTTTAGCTTTTAGATAATATACTGTTCATATCATAATATCATTTTGTATTAATCAAAATTATAAAGCAACACTGCATGTTTTTTTCTAAATATAGATTAAGAACATGTATTGGAGAAGGGACCCATATTAGGATGATAAATGGGATTAAGGCAATGAAATAAAAATAAAACAATGATTAACTCTACTGTCTGTTCAGGGGTCAAGATATTTCATATTTAACTGTGATTTTTTAAAAAATTCAATACTTACGGCACTTCTGGTACTAATAATGTGATTGTGTGGGCTCTTACTTGAATATCTGTAGAGAAAAAGACCAGATGTGATGGTTAACACTAATTTTTTCCAAATATTAGGGATTCTATATGTGGTCAAGGCCCACCTGAGCTGGCAAGAACTTGGTCTTTCTGTCTAGGCACTTTTCTGGAAAGTGAAATCTGGGCTAAAATTGGGGTTCTCAGTGACCTCCAACCACCACTCTAACCTTGTTAGGGTTTGTTGAAGCTACAGAAATGAAATGGGAAGGAAATACATTTTTAATATAAAAACTGTTGAAGATTATTGGTTCAAACTCCTTCATTGTAAACTGAGTTAAAATAAAGATAATAAAGATTGAAATTTCAAAAACCAGTATTTCTCATTTGGAACACCGAAGTGCACATTTCTGTGAGTCCTCACTCATGGTCATTTTTGTACTATTACCCAGGGTACTTCATTTTCTGTCTAATCCAGCTAAAGCATCACTGCCCTACAGAAATATAATACAAGTCACCTATGCACTTCAATATTTCTAGTAGCCACATGAAAATCAAAAGAACAAGTAGGTGAAATTAATTTTAATAATACACTTTATTTTAACAGGTAGCCAGCATAAAATAATTATAAGTGAAGTATTTTACAGGCTTTTTATACTAAGACTTTTGCATCCAACATCTATATTACATCTATAATACACTCTAATTTCAAGTGCTCAAAAGCCACATGTGCTCAGTGACTATCATAAAGCACATTCTTAAAATTCCTTCACTTTCCTTTCACTTCAATAATCTATATCTATATTGCATACTCAGTTGTCACTGGAATTGCTCCATCCCTAAAATTTTAAGTCAGAAGCATTTTTTTTTCTGTGTGTAGGGGAGAAAGTATTGGATGTCATTATATAACTTCTCGAGCACAATTGTATAAGCCTTAATGGTACTCTGAATTCTTTTTCGCAACAGATGTCAGTCATCAAAATAATGAAACACATTCCTCTACATACAGATTGAATAAAAAAATCCATGTTAATGTATTTTACATATCCTCATAAAGTTAAATGAAGAATTTTTTCTATATTTTTATCAAATGAAAAAGTCCTTGCATATTTAGAATTAAAAATAAATGCCAAATAATTCAAGGATTATAGAAGAGACAATAATAAAAGTTAAAACTAGCTAGAAATGAATAGTGAAAAGATTATATAATAGTCCTTATGGAATACAGCCAAGTAATGGTCTAAGGGCTATAAATACCCTTAAGTATGTAAGAAAAGACTGAAGACTATTAGCTAAACGTCTACTTAGGATGTTAGAGAGCATCAGAATAAGCTAAAAAAAAAAAAAAAGGATAAAAACATGAAAAGAAATCAATACAATGCCAAAGACCAAAAACAGGACAATTAAATATTAATGAAAAAGGGCCATAATTATGGATAAAGCAGATATTAAAAAGATAAGCATGTAGTCTCAATTATATGACAGCTTTGAAAAATTACATGGAATGGGCATTTTTATATATTACCAAAATTGACTCAAGAAGAAATAAAAAGCTTAAACAGCTGTATAAAGCAGTTGTTTAAAATCTCACCAGAAACACTGGGCTTAGGGATTTTACATATGAATTCTGCCAAAATTTTAGAGGTACAAATTACCCTAAACTTACATAAACTCTTTCAAAGAACTGAAAAAGAGCATTCTTCAACTCATTATATAGAGATTTGCAAATAATAAAGAAAATATTTGCAAATCAAATACAACCGTGCATGAAGAGGTAATAAATGATAACTAAGTTATATTTATACTATCTCTGCAAATATGGCTTAATTAGAAAATTCTACAAGTGAAACTTGCCACATATATCAACTTAAAGAGAAAAAAATTGGGCCAGGGATTTAGCTCAGTGGTTCCACCGCCTGCTGCGCAAGTGCAAGGACCCAAGTTCGATCCCAGGCACCGGAAAAAAAAAAAAGAAAAAAAAAATCATACAATTGTTTAAAGATATAAAAAATGATGGAATTTCATATAAATTAATAAAATTAAAGCCAGTAAATAAGAAATGCAAGAAAATTGCTTTAACAATGATAGAATATCTAAATATCTATAGAACATCTATTACAAAACAGTATTCTAAATGGAAAACACTAGTATCATTTTCTTAAAGACCTAGAATGAGAGAAAGATGCCATCATTACTATTTCTGCTCAACAGTGTATTGGAAATACTAGCCAATGCAATAAGAAAAATAAAATCATAGACTTAAGAGAACCCGGCTGTACGCTATTACAGCAGAGATCTGAGTAGTTGTAACATAACTGTATTGGCGGAAAAAGCCTAAAATGTTTACTCTGCTGTCCTTTACAGAAATGTTCGGTGACCTCTGGTGTTCAAGACAAAAAAGCTTATAAATTCCCTGAATTCACAGGCCATCATTAATATCAACTATCATTGTTAATGGAGCCATCCTTTGCTTGTGCTGAGAGGTCTAAATGCACCAATACAGTCAAGCTTCATAATAATCCAACAAGAAGTTTTATCTTCATTTTGTGACTCAGCCTCCCAGAAGGCTGGGATTAGAGACCCGTGCTACCACACCCAGCTCTTTCTCTCCTCCATCTATCCAATGAGATGCCCTTTGGGAAGCGAAGCCCTAGAAGTTTCCACTTCTAGAATGGTTTATTGTTGATATTCTTAAATGTTAATGTTGGAGAATAATTATTTTTACAGCAAAAACAGAATATCTGAAGAATGTTTTCTGGTTAACCAGCTGCATTTTAACCTATGAGTATCTTTCTAAAATATTTTATACACGTTCCAATGCATCAATCACTGAATACTGAAAAACCAAACTTGCATTAAAGATCTCTTAGAATTTTACATTTTCAGTCAACTCACCTTCTACAGGAATTACATTTCCTTACATTTATAAAGCGTTTACGTTTTATAAAGCACTTTCGCATAACTCACTCTGCTCCAATTCTCTACTATATTTGTATCCACTACTAGTTATCCTAGTAAAATGTATTCCCCTGCGCCAAAAAATAAAAATTAACTTTAAAAAGTAAAAAATTCAGAGGGCCTCAGCTCTCAGGAGACAGCAGCATGAAGGTCCCACCAACTTGTGCGGGAACTGGAAGAGGGCAGCAAGGTACCCAGGGCGCCCCCTCATTCACTGAAAACGCCAGGGTGGCAGCAGGGAGCTGGCGGCTGATCTGCTCTCAGAGGTGGGGGATGAAGCAGTGGTCTGCAAGGGCCACGGGCACCGCTAGCTCTGCCCCAGGGGCGACCCCCGCCCTGTCTGCTCCCGGAAACTGGCCTCTCTCTACCTCCACAGGGCTGAACAGCCGCAGATGAGCTCCAGCAGCAGCAGCAGGACCACCAGTGTGGCCGCCATGGTGCCGGGTCCTAAGCCCAACGTCCGGGCCACGCGCACCTGTGTTAAGAATAGCCAGCGGCCTGAAAGTTAGCTGGTGTGAGAAGATAGAAACCAGATTTTAGGGAAGGCGTTACCAAAAGCACTTCGAAAAAAATCCATGTCGGCTAACAGGTGAATATTTAAAGTCACTGCATCTTTTAGCCCAAATATTTGTGCGATGGTTTATCACCTCTGTCCTAGCCGATACGTAATCTGGTTTTCCAGGGAGCAGAAGCACCGTGAATAGTAATGTGTTCTATCCACGCTCTGCCCAACACTATCTCGGGCACTTTTGAACAAATAGGACAACGTTCTTGTTTACAAATAAGGGTTTATTTTTGTGATAAAGTTGAGATAAATACTTTATCATACACTAGAATTTATTTACTAGTCGGTAGACCAAATCATCTGAATCCTCCTAGGTCGTCGGTGGTCTGTAGTCTTAATTGATAGTAGGTTCTCAATGTTTACTGACAATGTGTTGGGTAGCAATCGTAAAATACTGTGCTAAAATGGGCTTTGGGGACCATGAGAGAAGATGTCAGTTTATACATTTGGGAGACACTACATGCAAGGTGATTCTGTTCTGCCCCCACCTTTTTTTGTAGCAATTTTTATCAGAATTAGACATCATAGTTAATTTGTATTGCGGTTGAAAGAGTATTGAATCAACATTTGGGATACTCTGGAATATACCCACAACTGAAGCTAACAGAGGGCAGACCCTCTGAACGTAGATTGCCAACGTACAAATCTGAGCCTCACTAGATTAAACTGCATAGCTTTCAAATCCTACACAGTGGGCTGGGGTATAGCTTAGTGTCAGAGTGACTGCCTAGCATGCATGAGATCCTAGGTTTGATTCCCACCACTGCAAGAAGAAAACACATCCCTCATGAGGCCATCCACGTACATTATATGACTGTGGGGATTAAAAATTCCAGTGCATTCCCGTACAGTATCTTTAGGTATATATAAAGTAGGTGATTCACACTCTCCGAACCTGTCACTATTGTGCAAAGTGAGATGGATTAGGATTCTTTTTTTGTTTGTTTTTTGGTACCGGGGATCGAACTCAGGTCCTTGAGCTTGCAAGGCAGGCAGCAGAACCACTGAGCTAAATCCCCGGCCCAAGGACTCTTGTTTAATCTCTGAATTTCCTGGTTCAATGTCCTCCAGTTTTACTTCTTTACTTTTTTTTTTCTTACGTTCTTTTATTGGTACATTTTAGGTATACAATATGTTTACATTTATCATTGGGTGTTTGTACCTGTACATGATGTATCTTGATTCTTACTTTTTCCCCATTACCTGTGCACCCTTCCCTATTTAAATAGACATCATTTCCATTTTTTTCTTTTCTCATAACTTTTCCTTTCCCTTCTTTCCTTTCCCCTTCCCCTCCCTTCACCCCTACGTCTTTGGACCTTTTTTCCTATTTCAAATTATCAATTATTCATTTACTTCTTTACTTTTAAGCTTGCCCTTTTTGATCTGTCACCCTTTCTCTTCTTACCTTTAGAACTTTACCTTTCAATTCTAAACTTATACGGTCCAATTCTATCTTGGTTGTTTTTTGAAATTACCTTCTTTGTATTCTGTATACTTTATCTCCTTCCTTTATGAAAATAAATATTTAAAAAACAAAAGAGGGCCAGGGATTTAGCTTAGTGGTGCCGCCACCTACCTCGCAAGCACAAGGTCCCCAGTTCCATCCCCGGAACCAAACCAACACACACACACACACACACACACACACATATACACGCGCGCGCGCGCGCAAAGAACAGTTTCAGTGCCTGAAACCTGCAGAGAACATCCACCTGGCACCAGATTACGTCTCTGCGACGCACAGCGTTGCATGCCGGGAGTTGTTGTTCGATGCTCCTCACGTACCTACGCGCCTCTAGGGTTTGAAAGCCGGAGGAAGGGCGGACAGGCGGGGCGTAGTGGTCTCGAAGTCCCATCCCTTTCGCCCGCGGGCTTGGCCTGAGTGGCACTCCAGGGCGCTAAAGCGGCGTGGCCTCGGCCCCAGGTGGCGGCCATTGCCGCGTCAGGACCTTTCCGACCGGAGGTGCGGCCGAGGTCGGCCTGCGCGGGGCAGTCGTGGTCCCGCCTTAAGCGGGCAGTGGCGGGGCAGGGGCGGGGCCTGGCTGGAGGGGCGGGGCGCGGCGGAGGCGGGGCGGGCCTCCGGCTCCTTCTTCCTCCGCATGTGGCTGGTGGCGGCGGAGCTCTTGAGTCGTGCAGTGTTCCCCGCCGCCTCTCCTTCGGGCTCTCCGCGCCTCGCTGGAGCCATGTCGGTCTCCGAGACCAACCCGGAGGCATCTTCCCTGCCCAACGGCGACTGCGGCCGCCCCAGGGCACCGCCGGGAGGGAACCGGGTGACGGTAGTGCTGGGCGCGCAGTGGGGCGACGAAGGCAAAGGGAAGGTGGTGGATCTGCTGGCGCAGGACGCCGACATCGTGTGCCGCTGCCAGGTGAGGCGCCGGGGCGCGGGCGTCAGCCGGGCCCGGAGACCCGATCCGCCGGCCGAGGAGGTGTCACCTTGAGGCTCCTGCTGCGAACCGAGGCGAGGTGGAGAAATGGCGGGAGGTGGGGAGCCCTGACCTGAGCCCTAGCTGGCTCGGGAGCCGCGGCTGGCGGAGATCCGTTCAGGTTTTGGCCTGGGGACCGGTGCCAGCCCGGGGCGGGGCGGGGCGGGGACGGCGCTGTGGTCCGAGTGTGGGCAGCTCCTCCCCTAGGCCTGGTCCCCACCCCGGGCGCGGACCGGGCAGAGGACCCGGCGCGGCCGCAGTGGGCGCGATTTTTCCCTAACGCCTGGGACTCACACTCTCCGCTACCCCACCTGCAGGCCCGGGGCACGCAGAGCTTTGCCACCCCCGCGCTACTTTGTTGACATCCGAACCAAGGCGGGGCTTTGGCTCTGTCGAGGGGCTCTGTCTTTTGTTTTTACTCCACCCCCCCACCCCCCCACAATATTAAGGGGAGATTATTTTTACTCATTGGACTCAGAGGAGTGAATCCTCGTTTCATTAGCAAGAGTGGGGCAAGACAAATGAGAAATACGATATTTAGAAATACTTTGTTACGGTTCCCCAAAGTTCACTTTCTGGGGAAAGGGAGTGGCAGTGTACTTCCTACCGGAGACACGTGGTTTTCGGTGTAAGCTTTCTTCCTATTTGTTTGCTTTGAAGCTGCCTAGAGGCTAGGCCTTTGTAAAAGCTCTCAGATAACTGCCCCTCAGGTTCAAAATTCAAAATAGATGAGCAGTACCCACACTGCAAACAAAGTATAATTTAGTTATGAGTTAACTAAATCTGGGCTCCAAGAATATTTCTTGCTCTTGAAAAATACATGGGATAATGGAATGATGCTGGTTCCTTGGGGTGGGTGTTCTGACAAGTTAGAGGTAAAATTAATACCATGAATACCATTTGAGCATGGCAAAATAAAGAAATTACAGAATTGCAAATATCCTCTGATATTTATTATATATTAGCGTGGCTTTTCTTTTTTTTTTATTTTTAAAAATTTTCTACGCAGAAATCTACCCATTTCTTGACTAGATTGAGGTTGCGATGTTTTACCATTTTTAAGCACCAACTGGCCCTTGCTATGGGATAAGAAGAGGAATGGATAGAGGGAGAGGCCAATGCCTGTTTATCTTATTTTATCCACCCTGTGTACATGCAAATTTAACTTGAGCAATGTTATAGATTCTAATATTTGGGGAATGTACCATTACAGTATTTATTCTGAAAGCCTTTTTTTTTGAGACAGAGTCTCACCAAATCATTCAGGCTGGCCTTGAACTCAGTATGTTGCCCATGCTGGTTTGAAACTCAAGGTGATCCTCCTGCCTCAGCCTCCCTAAAGGGGTGGATATTCCTTTAAAAATTATTAGAATTAGTTTGTATTATGGAGGTGTTACTATGTTACTAAGAAATCAGTCTTAAGGTCGATCATAGAACAATCTGATCTAATGCCCTTGGAAAATCTAGAAAAATTATTAAGAAGGAGCCATGTTTGCTTCAAAATGTTAGCTGAAGATAGTGGAGAAATAAGTGACCAGACTTGTTATGTAGACTTCCTTATAACTTGTTTACTTTAATTACTATCTTTTTTATATAATCTTTATATTCTACTTGTGCCTTTTAAAATTTCATCATTAGAATCCTTTAAAAGTCTCATTAGGCACAAGTATGTAGGTAAGTGATTTAAGCATATTTCTTTTGTGATTCACCTTGAACTTTGCATTGTTTTGCCAGACCTAGTAATGTGTGTGACATCTGCTTAATGAAGTTCTCCTAGGTTATAAAATTAAAGAATATCAAATGTTAAAATTCCTAATTAGTTGTATAGGTTATTAAGGAAGGTCAGTTTTAGCTTGGACTGACTGCTTTGTTTGGTGTTTCAAGTTTTGTGTGTTATTGAAAATAAGTCCTTCCTTAATTTTTTTGCTATAAATATGCCATGAGCCCAAATTTTATACAGCAGTTTTTCCAGAAATGATACACATTTAATGTGTCCGTATGTCAACAGTAAAATCATAAAATAAGAATTTCTTCCAATACAAAATAGAGTTTTAAAATGAAAAAGAAGAAAAAGAACTGGTGCTTCCTGTAACTATAGATTTAGGTATATAAAATGCCTTTTTGGAAAGAACAGATGAAAAGCTAATGGCATTTTCAGAATTATAGCACTTAAAGCCTGTGTCTTCAGATTCAGGATTTATGGGAGTTATTTATGACTTCGTAGGTACTCTAGATCCATAAATAAGTGTGTGCAACTTGGATCAAAGAACAAACACTACTGATGTCTTAATTTTAAATCAATATGTCTTTTAAGAAAGGAGAAAAATTAAGTATAGGACCAACCCTTGATGCTGGTTGTTTATCCAATAAACACATATTGAATGCCACACGTAATCCTGGAGTGAAGAAAACCAAAAAAGGCATAAACCACGTACTCAAGAAGCTCACAGTGTAGGTGTATGGGATAACTGCCTTGCAAACAGGTGTGGCCAGGGTGGGCTTGGAGGAGGAGTACACTGTAATACAAGGTTTTCAAGGAATTAAGTATAGGAACAGGAAAGCCCCTTTCTGGCAGCACAAAAGTGGTTTGTTAGCAAGTCTGTTTTTTTTCCCAAAAAAATCCTCTCAAAATAACACTATGTTTTATTCCCCTTGTATTGTTCAGTAGAAACTACAAAGGCTTCTTAACTGTAGCAGTTTATACCAGGCTGTCAGCAAGGGCTTACTTATTGTTCCCAGAGAAATCAAGTGCGGTGGTCTTGGTTACAGTGACTGGCATGCAGTAGCTTGTGACCAGGAAAAGCTAGGGCAATAATCCCTTTCTTTGTGTTTTTTCACCCAGGATTCTAAAGTAATATAGAAAAAAAGTATTAACTGCAATTAATTATTTAAAAAGTACATCTTATCGTTGCTACATCTGAAAGCTTGCTGTTAAAAATAAACACAATAAAAAAAAAGTTACTAATTTGTAGCTAGATGCTGATACTTACAGAAGGCTCTGAAACCAGCCATTAATTAGTAAGAGAGAAGTATAAAGGACCTATCAGCAACAGAAATTTTCTCCTTAAATAGTCAGAAAAGTGAAGGATTACTTAAAAGGAAGTAACTTTACTATTATTTAATACCTTGACCTTTTATACAGCTAAAATCATCTCATGCTACTTTGAAAATGGTGGAGGATTACCAATTCTCTCCAAATTTGTTCATCCAGTGAGGATGTGCCAAGTTGTTCACTGTTTGGGTGTATTGCATTAGTGGATCTGCTATACTATTATCTCTCTTCTTAAGGTGTGGATCTTTAAATGATAGAACATCCCAGTGGTGTCTGATCCCAATTATTGTTTCTTTTATTTTGGTAGGACTGCATGGATTGGTTGGATAGATTCAAGTATCTCTAGGAAAAACTATTGCTTAGAACAAATCTAGAGTGAACCAGTACATTGATAATAGCTTACTTACTGTAACTGGATACACACGTAGTTATATTATCTCTTGGGAACAATGTCAGATTTTGACATCTAACATTGATGTGGATGAGCTACATATTGATAGGTGAAAACTGCAGATTATTGGAAGAGTTTTTATCAGAAGAAAAAGGGATAGTGAAATTTTGAGTGTTGGCTGGTGCAAGCCTTGAAGGACAGTGGATGAAGGGGAGTTTCCATGGCTCCTCTGGCTCCTTTACTGCGATCCAACCTTAATTACAAATTCATTGTAATAAAGGTCTTTTAAAAAGTAGGAACCATTACATTTCTAAAAATAAGATTTTATTTATATTAGAACTTTTAAAATCTTTAAAAAAGTTTTATTAGTCATGAAACCCAAAAACTATCATTGGTGTGTACATTTTTTTTGTTACATACTTCATTCCCTCACTTAATAACCCTGTGTAGACTAGAGTGTGGTAACTGGAGTCTCAGGCTTCTTGATTAGGAACCTGAAACCCTCCAAGGCAGTCCCCTTTTCACTTTCATTGTCCATTGTTTCATAATGGCAATTTAAGGTATAAAACACAAAGTATCTGAAACTCATCATTTGTGTGGTTTTGAAGCTGGGAGGTCACTACGTAAGGTAAGGTGGGTACCTGTAGGCCTTCCACAGATAGCTGAACTGTACACTTGGATGTCTTTGCTGAAAGGAAATTCAGATACCAGTGTATATTTTCTCTTCCTATCCAGTGTGTCTGGTTACGGCTGAATAGTTTAATTTGATCAACTTAGTGGTAGTAATTTAATCTAGTCTACTGTGGAATCATAAGCTAATTGTAGTTGTAGGAATGCTTTTATGAGTATTTTGTTGCTGTGGGTTGACAAGTGCTTTAGTTTTGATGAACTGTGAAATGTTTCATCTGGAAATATTTCATTTCATCCCGGTCTTAATCTTTACTGGGAAAGCAGCATAAACAGTAAGCAGTGATTTAGAAGATTGTTAGGTACTTAAGCTGGGAGACTAGACAAGAAATAGCAGCCTTTTTTGGTTAAAGGGCATGGGGTCTGAGGCATTGCTATTCATTGCTGTAATCCATAGTGGTAACTGGGACTTCTTAATTGACCTCATTTGGAGCTTTGTGATTATAATACAGTTTTCTTGTATTCAGACCAAATAGAACAAAGAGAAGACAAACTATTTTGGAGGCGACAGTGACCTGAGAAATGCCTCTGGGCTGTGTGTATGAAATTTTTAACCCTCGACACTTGGGCCTCTACTGTTGTTTTGGGTTTAAACACTGCCAAAGGACTCTTCATTCATTGCCTTTGTGGTTGCTTCAGCAGGGATGCCTTGGTGTGGAGAAGGGAGTGTTTGGGCTGAAGGGAAAGGAAGGCCTATAGCAAATTTGAGAATCAAGAGTCGTTTTTTGTAGACTAATTTCATCTCCTTTCAAACTTGAAAAAAAATTTCCCTTGGAACTTTGGAACTATGTAATTAGAAACTTGCACCATTCA